TTAAAATTCTGGTTGGTACTTAGGAATTTTCCCAGAGAAAATAGTTTACTTATTTTCTTTTGCATATCAGTTTACTTATTTAATTAATATCAGAGAGCACAGCCTATACATCATAGATCTGCTATCAATAGTCTGTTTATGAAAGCTACTAGTAACTATTAAGTGTTATATCATTTTTTTAAAAATATTCTTCAATGTATTATTTTCTTAAAAATGTAAATTTTAATCAAACTCCTTTAATGAAAACTTTACAAGCATTAACTTATCAAATCTTACTGTATCTCTTTTTAAAATTTCTATTTTTGATTGATTTGTGAGAGAAAGGGAGAAGGGGAGGGGGAATCCCACTGATTTGTTGTTCCACTTATTTATACATTCTTTGGTTGACTCTTTTATGTGCCCTGAACCAGGGATCAAACCGGCAACCCTGGCATATTGGGAAGATGCTCTGATGAACTGAGCAACCTGGCCAGGGCAAATCTTACTCTGGGTTAAGCCTATCTTACCTCTTTTAGAAATCTAGCAATTATTGGAAAACTGTTTGCAGCTCTATTCTCCCTTCCTTTCTCTAAAAATCAATAATCCATCCTTTAAAAAAGAAATTTAAAATATCTTTCTTTGAACGTCTGTTATTTCCAACTGCCTCCCATTCATTATTCAAGAAACAAAAAGGGTTTACCCAACTCTGAAGTAATCTTTTCAAATAGAATCACTGGCTTGTTTTCACTTTGAAATTCAAAGTATGTTTCATGTGCAATACTGAAAGTATTACTTTAAAACTAAAACATACTTTTATTGCATTATTTTCCTAAAGCTTTATTTACTTACCATTATGATATTTTTATATGTACATTCAGGGTGGGGCAAAAATAGGTTTCAAGTTGTCCATATGGACAATACAATAAATAATATATAATAATACAAATATAAACTCTGGATTTCATGTACTCACAATTATAATCCTACTTTTGTCCCACCCTGTACAATGCACCATTTTTTGCATACTAGAACTTTCTTTTTCTCCCTTGGGGTATCAGTCAAGGCAGTCTTGGACTAACACTTTTACATATTCAACTCACTTTTCTACTGACTCTACACATAGACTTTAGGGCTTAAAATTAAACGAATCAAAACAAAAGACCTGAGACTCTTACCAAGGTCTGGCAATTCACCCCTCCTCAAGTTATAGACCCTACCTAGGTCCTCTCCTAGTCTCCACAGCTGCAGATTACCAGTTCAATAGTTCTTATCCTCTCTTCTGCCTCAGTCTAGGTGGTTCTGCATTTGGAAAAAACAATCAGGGATTGTAGAGCTTGGCTAGAAAATAATTACCTCCCATCTTCAAGGCCAACTCAGACTTAGCTTGGATGAAGTGGCAGGACCTGGTGCACAACTACGCTGGAGGCTGGCCTCCATACCAGTCTTGCCTGAGAAAGTGGGCTCATAAGACAGGGCCTAGTTGTAAGGGGAGCCAAGCTCCTTTCTTGCTGACATCTCTGGTTCTCTACCTTCTCAGGAATTCTCCAGGAAGTGATAAACTTTTCATTACCTTACCAAACATCTTGCCCTCGATTTAGGGACCATGGGCAAATTTCTCTCCTCCTTTCTCCCCTCACAATAGAAGGCAATGGTTCTTCAACTGGCCATGTGGTCAAAGATCCCTTGTTTCTGAATATTCTGGGTAGAGGTATTGTCAGGGTAGGGAGTTCTCCCTGGGATGTGTCACCCTGGCATAAAGATTATTTTGAGCTGCAAACAATTAAAGCCCAACTAACTCAGGAAGTAGTTTTTGTGTGTGTTTGTTTTATAACCTCCCCCTTTTCTTCTCAAAGGGATTCAGATGGAAAAACCTGCTTCAGAAAGGGAACTTTAGGATTACCACTGTCGCATATTCACTTGTGCACACATAAATTAAGTGTGGTTGACAGAAAGGATCCATGAAAAAATCTGTTCCCTAGATTTCCCTCTGTTCTGTTGTTTCTGAGCAGCATAATAAGAATGTATTTGCTACTTTCTCAGCTACCTAGGAGTTGCCCTTACCCCTTTCACCTTTGTCCAAAATGACATCTATACCCCATTTCGCCTCATTGTCTTTGGAATTTTTATGCCTATGAAAAAATGCACATGTAAAAATTTGATTTTCTCCTGTTGATCTGAAATATGTTGTTTGACTTATTCGACTAGCAAGAAGAACTAAAGGGGTAAGGGAAAGTTTCCCGGGCCATGAGAGTATCACCTATAAAAACTAACAACTGAGAAAAAGAAACAATTATTCTAATAGTCTCCAATAAAATTATACATATGCAAATAAACTATTTGTGCCGTTAAATGTCTAGCATTTTATCCTAAATTAAAACACACTGGGAACTAAACAGAACCTTTAAAAAGTTAACTGTAAGCATTAAAAGCATTTATAAATATATATTAATCCTACAGTATAATACTCAGTATTTTCTTTTCTGCTCTCTTTTATTTTATTTTTTATTTTTTTTAAATATATATTTTATTGATTTTGTACAGAGAGAAAGGGAGAGAGATAGAAAGCTAGAAACATCAATGAGAGTCATCGATCAGCTGCTTCTTGCACACCCCCTACTGGGGATATGCTCCGCAACCAAGATACATGCCCTTGTCCAGAATTGAACCCGGGTCCCTTCAGTCCCCAAGCGGACGCTCTATCCATTGAGCCAAACTGGTCTCGGCCTTTCCTGCTCTCTTTTAAGCTTCCTTATACTTTATTCATAATAAACATACAGCAGTCACTATTTACCAAGTACTGACATTATTATTATTATTATTATTATTTAGAGAAAGAGAGGGGAAGGGAGAAACATCAAGCATCAATGTGAAAGAAAAACATGGATTAATTACCTCTCATTCGGAAATCGAAGCTGAAATCTGAATATGTGCCCTGACTGGGAATTGAACCCACAACCTTTCAGTACACGGGACAACACTCCAACCACCTGAGCCACTGGGCCAGGGCTACCAGGAACTATTCTAAGTGCTTTACATGCATTAATTTACAAAAGGCACTGAACAACTCAAAAAGGTATGTAATACTTATAGGCTATTTACAAATAACAAACCCTAGGCATAGACAGGCCGAGTTACAGGAGTCTGTCCAAAAGGACAATGCCAAGATTGGAACAACACAGGCTGGCTCTAGCATCTTGTCTATTACCTGCTGTGCTATGATGCCTCTGCTGCCTTCACTATCACACTCCCATTAAAACTGCTTATAAACCACTAGAGGGCAATGGATTGTGACCATCCTTTGCACAGCTATGTCCTCAGGACGGAGGCTCATGAATAAATCATTGTTGAGTTCTTCACAGGTACGCTTTCCCCTCTAGACTACGATCCTAGGCCCTAGGGTCAGAAAGACAGAGTGATACTGCAGCTCATCCTGTAAGAGTGCATGGCACATAAATGAACATAAATTGATATGCAGAAGTTCTTGCTCCAGACATTCCTAAATACCTGCTGAATGAATATATCTTCTATTTACAAAGTCTTGAAGCAAAAGACAAGAATGAGAAGCCCCTGCGTGGAGACAACAACCAGAAGCACCTCTCTAGACCCAACTTTGCAAGAAACCAACAGCTGCCTTAAATAACATTTTAAACTCACTCATAGGAAGATTAATGGACTAAGGTAAAACATTAAATGCAATATGAAAACAGTCTACCATATGAGGACTGCTCCCCTTTAAGAGCTTTGTACTTAAGAAAAAAAGAAAAAAAGACCAAACACAAATCCATACTTGGCAAAGCTAAGTTTGAATATGGTGCAGTTACTTTACAAATAATCACTCTTTTTATGGAATCCTTCTAAATAGTGAATTCCCCTTAACTCACTCAAATAAACAAAAACAAAACCCCAGGAATTTAGAAATTAAGCTTAATTTGGGCAAGGAAAACCAATAATAGACAATACTAAGGATTAATTCCACAGTATTTTTTTTAAAAAGAGCAATTTCAATCTGTAGCCACCTCTGAATTACTTAGATAGGCATTAATCAAAGGAAATCTCAGTATCTGGCGGGCTCTCCTCTCCAGACATCAGAAATCCTACCACGGTTATCGTTTCAACTCGGAACACATTCCAAAAAAAAAATCACCTTCGGATGCTAGAAGGGCCCATAGGACATGAACAGTTCCTTTCTGACACTATTCTGGAAACAATGTAAAAGTTTTTGTTTTTTTTTTCCCTTTTCTTAAACAAAAGAACCAACCGATTCTTTTACAACTTCAAATCTCAAAGAAAAGCTGGAACCCTAATATTGAAGGCGGTCTGGGTACCCTTGCATGGAAGAAATTCACCCTCTAAACAGTCTATCCTGCCTGCTGAGGCCACACCGTCCCTCATCCTCATACGACCTTCCAACCGTCCCTCATCCTCATACGGGGACCCGGGGCGGTGCGGGCACCGAGGAGCCCAAGTGCAACCACAGGTAAAAGCCCCCCCAAAACCACCCGCCAGGGGGGCTGCCCGAGCGGGACCGGCTGCCCGCCCTGAACCCCGCGAGCAACTGGAAGGGAGAAAAAAAAAAAAAAAAAAAAAAACCTCCTTCATCAGCGCCTCTTCCTTCCTCCGGAGGGCCGCGGGGAGGGGCGCCCCCGGAAGGCACCCTGGGAGGAACGCACACCCCGAATAAATCCCTATTTCAAATTTCTGCGACTAGTTTCTCCTCCCAAAGCGGACCGCCGGGCGTGCCCGAGCCCCGGGAGACTGAGCGCGGCGGGCGCCGGGGCAGAGCCGCTCCCCGGGGCACCTCTCCCCCGCACCCTGCGGCCCAGGGGCGCCCCGGGTCCTCCAGGAAGCGCAAGGCTCCCCCAAACCGCGACCCCGGCCGGCCCAGGGCCACGCCTCGCCTCGCCCGTCCCCCCGCCGCCGGGCCGGGCAGGGCCCAGGCCGCCGCCCGCCCGCCCGCCCTTCCTCCCTCCCGGCCGCTCCCGCGGGCCGCCGGCGACAGCGATCCGGGCGGGCGCACTCACATCCGTCCGCGTCCTCCTGCAGGTCCTCCTGGAGCAGCGAGAGGTCTGCGCCGGGGAGAGAAGAAAGGCCCGGTTAGCGACCCGGCGCGCCTCCCGGCCGCCCGCCCCCCGGCCCCGCGGCGCCTTCCCGCGCCGGCCTCGGCCCCACCACATGGGGCGGCGGCGGCGGGCGGACGCGGGGAGGCGCCGCCGCCGCGCCGCCCGGAGACCTGGGGGCCACGTACCCGCCATCTTGTGGTCGCCCCCTCCTCCTCCTCCTCCTCCTCCTCGGTCTCCCGGGGATCCGGGGCTACATGGAGCGGCGCGAGCCGGGGAGCCGGTGGACGCGCGCGGGAGGGGCGGCGAGGAGGAGGGCCGGGCCGGCGGCGGGGGCGCGCGCGCGGGGCGGGCCGAGGGCCCGGGCCGCGGGCGGAGCGGCTCCCGGGCGGACGCCGGGGGTGGGCGGGCGCCGCGGGGCCTGGGCCTCGGAGCCCCGCCTCGCCCGTCCGCTCGCTCCGGGCGGCCCCGGGGCGGCCGGCGCTCCCTCCTCCCGCCTCCCTCGCTCCCGGCCCGGCCCGGCCCGGCGGCGGCTGCGGCGCGCGCTCACACCCTCGGCCGGAGGCGCCCTCCTCACGCCGAGCGGCGGCCGGAGCTGCCTCCGCTGCCGCGGCCCCGGGAGCCTGCGGCTGGGGGGCCGGAGCCGCAGCCGGGCAGGCGCTCCCCCACCCCCGCCCCCCGCGGCCGACCCGCTTTATTGGGTCACCGCCTCGTCGGCCGCGGCCCTTCTCCGCGGGCGGCCGGGTGTTGGCGGCCCCGCGCCCCCTGCCTGGGCTGCACACGTACGTCGGCGGCGGTCCGAGGCCTGGCGGAGGCCGAGGGTCCCACCCTCCGGGCGGAGGAAGCGCCGCCCCCCGCGCGCCCGGGCCGGTGGGGAGCGGCGGCGAACAAAGCCCGGGGCCCGGGCGCCCGGCCCCGGGGGGCCCGCGGCAGCCTCGGCCGGCCGCCCCGCCCGCCCCGCGCGCCTCAGGCTCATACGCAGGTGCGGGCTCAGCCGCGGACGCAGGTGATGACCCGGGCCCGGCTGATGAGGAACCGACAAAGCGGAAACCCTCCAGCGAGCGGGCCTGGGTCCCGGTCTTTATCCCCCGGTTACTCAGCAGGCGGGTGGCCCATTGGTGAGAGGAAGGAGGATCGTTGCCACTGGGGGTGATCGGGGTGAAAGAAGAAGGCAGGGAACCTAGCACGGCACTGGATTTAGGTTGGAGATGCTCGGTGAGCGGTGCCTAGGATTGTGGTTGGTTTGTTTTTTTCCCCCTTAAAAGTAGTCGGTGCTCACCTGAATGCTGTATCTCACACATTTTATCATTTCCCCCCTTTTCACATGGGTGTGATTGATGAGCTCAAGCTCCTCCCGAGTAGAGTGAGAGCTAAAACATAGGCTTTCTGATTCCATTTCACACACTCTCCTATTTCTACCTCCAGTTCTGCTCTAGGCCTCCAATATGGTAATCTCTTGACGTGCAGGACAAAACAAGAACTTGTTCAATGAATACCACTTTGGGGGTTCTGGTCTCTTGAGCAGGAGAGGGGGATTCTAAGTAGTTAATCAGCTTGTTCCTTTCTGCAGTGTGGCTTTGACCAATGAAGGATCAGCCTAAGGAATCGGATCTCCCGAAGTTCACAATTCTGTGTAATAAAATGGATTCTGTATAGCTATTCCCAAAACTTCCCTCTCAGATACGGAACACATTGTATAAGAGTAATAAAGTTCTAAGAGTAATAAAGATTGGAATACAATCTATAATTCCAGGTATATGTCTAATTTTGTCAAATACAGAATAACTAGAGGCTCAGTGCACGAATTCGTGTATCGGTGGGGTGCCTTCGCCTTGCCTGTGGGAATCAGGAGGAAACACGCTCTCCAACATCCCTGAGGGGGTCCCAGATAGAAGAAAGGGACCTCACTATTTCATGGTCAGGGCCAGGGAGGGATGCAGGAGGTTGGCCAGCTGGGGAAGGACCGTGGGAGGGCTCCAAGGCATGTCCGGCCCATCTTGCTCAGTCCCAATCGGCTGGATCCTAACAGCAAGCTAACCTACCGGTTGGAGGTTCTAATCCCTGGTGGTCAGTGCAAGCGGTTGAGCAGCCTTAGCATACCATTAGCACAGTGGTCGGCAAACTCATTAGTCAACAGAGCCAAATATCAACAGTACGAGGATTGAAATTTCTTTTGAGAGCCAAATTTTTTAAACTTAAACTTCTTCTAACACCACTTCTTCAAAATAGACTGGGCCCAGGCCATGGTATTTTGTGGAAGAGCCACTCTCAAGGGACCAAAGAGCCGCATGTGGCTCGAGAGCCACGGTTTGCCAACCATGACATTAGCATATTACACTTTGATTGGTTGAACAGACAACCAGACACTTAGTGTATTAGTCTTAATTATGTAGGATTAAAAAACTAAAGGCTAAAAACTGTCATCTATTTCTTTCCTTTCCTTGAAAAATGCCATTATATGAATTCTGCTGACACCAACTCTCAAAATGACAAGTTAGAAATTCACAAACTATCCACAGAAACGGGTTCCAATTGATTCAATCTGTGACAGTTATGCTTATTGACACCTACCACTTTAGCAATTCTGGGTGGAAGGAGGGGGAGATAGGATTTGGCCCTTTACTCTAAAATTTAGAGTCTAAATGGTGATTTCTAAACAACACAGAATTTACCAAGTGCCAACTATTCTTCAGGTACTGGACATCCAAAGACAAAACTATCTGGATGATCTACCCAGTATAATTTTCAGTGATCATGATAAGAAAGGTTGTGTACCAAATGTTAGTCTGGGGTACATAATGACTGTGGTAACTAGACCTCAATAAATTTTATCTCAGTATTTTCTGGATGGTGGCAAAGGAGAAGAGCCTGTATAACTTTGCCTGTATTGTTCAAAAGCTATGCATTTAGGTATCATCTTACCTCCATTATATGCCTCACTAGGTTTCTTTAGTCAGATGGTTTTTAGATGTTTCAGTGGTTAAGCACAAATACTTATTTTTTACATTTAATTTTCTCTCATTCTCTACTCCTTCCTCAAAATAAGATCAATGGTTTTTAAACCAGTATCCTATGAAACTTCCTCCTTCCTCCTTATGAAGATTATATTTAAACAATAGCAATCATTAATCTATGTACCCTTACTCCAATTTCACCTACAGTCTAGCCCATGGATATCAGAAGCTGGGTGTGGTCAGAACACAACACAATGTCTGAATTCTTAACCTGCTTTGTCCCTAAAAATAGTGTCGAAAGTAAACTTTTTTAAAAGTATTATCCAAATCTGTGTCTATTAAGGCCGGAATTTTTCAGAATAAGTCCTCAATGATAGTGAAAACTTTCATTAGTAGCCAAGGAAACGTAAAAATTAACTAATTTGGTTCTTCAAACACAAACATAATAAATATCATGGGGGAAATATTGATAATAAACAAAACCTACCTGGCATTGCTTGATGCTACCCCATTTATTAATGTTTATATTAATAATGGATCCATTTACTTTTTTCTTCAGAATGACCATTCCTGAACCTGAAAGTACATAAAGGCAGATTATCAGTTATTGTTTTGAGTAATAAAAATGAATCAATCTGAAAATGAAGAAATTCAATAAAAATACTTTTTAAACAAAATTTTAACCTTTCAGCCTAGCTGGTGTGGCTGGGTTGAGCGTCAACCCAAGAACCAGGAGGTCATGGTTCAATTCAGGGCACATGTCTAGGTTGTGGGCTTGAACCCCAGTAGGGGGCATGCAAGAGGCAGCCATTGATGATTCTCATCATGGATGTTTCTATGTTTCTATCTCCTCCCTTACTCTCTCTGAAATCAATAAAAACTTTTTTTTTTAAAAGAAAACATTTTATTCACCTTGTTTTTCTATTTATTTTTTGACACAGGTTGATGGATGTCTCTCACAGAGTGTCATTCCCAAGTAAAAAGAACACATAGAGTTTTTTAAATTTATTTTTAATGTATTGCCAATCTCTTACTTGAACCCTCCTATATACATTTTTGGTATATTTTATAAAGGGAAGTATTTGTGAAATTTGTCTTATCTTTCCTTCCTATGCGTTTTTTTAGTCCCTTTTAAAGCTCATGTCAAGATGACATTCCAAGCTCTAGCTAGTTTAGCTCAGTGGATAGTGTCGACCTGCAGACTAAAGGGTCCCAGATTTGATTCTGGTCAAGGGCACATCCCCAGGAGGGGGCATGCAGAAGGTAGCCAATCAATGATTTTCTCTCATCATTGATGTTCCTGTCTCTCTCTCCCTCTCCCTTCCTCTCTGAAATCAATAAAAAAATATTTTTAAAAAAGATGACACTCCAAAATATGAAATCATAGCCTTTTCTAGAGCTTTCAGTGTGGTTTGTTTTCCAAAGACACCTGATCTCTGTATTTACATCCCAACCTAAAGATCCCAACCTAAAAAAAAGAAAAAATGAATGAAAGAAGAAAAAATAGCTACAGAACTGAGCCCTATCCAGAGTTATCTTTGTGCAGGCAATAATCTTTCCATCTGCGGGAGTTGAAGGTGGTCCATAGAATGCAACAGAACATAGGCTCTGTCCCACCATCAGTCACGGCTGCGAATGCCTTAGCACAGGCTTCTTCTGACAGAAACATGCATCCTGCTAGGACCACCACGGCAAACTGAGTATAAAGGAAAATAAACCCTGTATCTTACCCACCCCCACACCATGTGAATTACTTCAGTGCTTCTCACTGTGCCCCAGATTAAGCAGAGCCAAAACGATTCTCCACTGAGCAATTTTGTAGTTATTCCAGCGGAGGTAAGGCATCCTATACAATTTGTCCCACACGTTTTAATTTCTTTAAAAAAAATTAAGATGTAAAAATAAGGAGCATTAAATTGGTTACAATGGCAGTGCTGGTTTTCTTCACACCTTTATCTTAATGCGGAAAGCATTAGTTGCAATCACATTGTGCAAAAGCCAATCCCAATGTTGGCAAAGTGCAGAGTACGTGCTGAAGAAAAGCTTATTGTTCTGAATCTGAATGGATGAGTCAAGTTGATCCAGGAAAAAAACATAGGCAAACCACACATTCAAAGCAAGATAAACTTGGTAATTAAACGATGGCTCGATTTTAAGGTCCTTTCATACTGATGCTGCCCTATGTTCTATGACGAAGAAGAAATTGCTTCTATTCTAATTTCATCTTTCTGTGTATCTAATTTCATCCTTCTGTGTTACCATTTGCAACAATACGGATGGCCATAGAGGTATTATGCTAAGTGAAATAAGACAGGCAGGGAGAGACAAATAATGTGGAATCTAAAAAGCATAACAAAGTAGAAATAAACTCAGATACAGAGAACTGATGGTTGCCAGGTGAGAAGAGGGTTCAGAGAATGGGAAAAAAGGTAAATGAATTAAGAAGTACCAATTGGTGGTTACAAAATAGTGATGGGGATATAAAGTACAGCATAGGGACTACAATCAATAATATTGTAATGACTATACATTGTGTCAGGGGGATACTAGACTCACATAACTTTGTGAGTTATTTAAAAGTCTAACTACCATGCTGTACACCTGAAACTAATACAATATTGAATGTTGACTATAACTGAAAATTTTTTAAATATTAAAAAAGGAAGAAAATAATCAAAACCGCATACACAAAATAAATTACTCTCATGTTTTTTTCTTGGGCTATTGGGTGTTTCTTATTGAGGTGTTGCTTATTGAGGAGAAAAGGGATAGGGGAGGGCAAGAAGAGGTATAATAGAACAAGAGGGCATTGCTGGATATGTTAAAACTGATAGGCCTGTGAGATAGATAGCCAACGAGAGATGTTAAATGGGAAGTCTATTGGGCCAGCAAAAGATCTAAGGAGGAGGTGAAGAAAGGAAAGGAACATGTGCAGTGACTCGCAGTGGAAGGCTCCTGATTCCCAGTCCTGTGCTCTTGCAGCCTCATACACATGCCTCGTCAATGACATTACCGTATCACT